TGTGTGTGTGTGTGTATGTGGGCGCTCACCTACAGGGGAGCAGAGGGGTCAGGAACTGCCCCATGGTGGGGGGACCACAGTCACGGGAGGGGTGTGTGTGCGCGTGTGTGTGTGCGTTCACCTGCAGGGGAGCAGAGGGGCCAGGGACTGCCCCACGGGGGGGACGACAGTCACGGGAGGGGTATGTGTGAGGTGGGGCGCTCACCTGCAGTGGACAGAGATGGGACCGTCCTGGCCGAACTGCTCCTTGGTCTTATGCACTTGGCCGATGAAGTCGATGAAGCCCTCCCCCGACTTTGGCACACCCTGCTCCGGCCAGTCCGTGAACTGGAACTGCCGGACGGTCCGGGACTGGCCGTCCTGGAGGGGGGAGAGCCGGGTCTGCCGTTAACGCCCACCGAGGTTGTATCTACCCCAGAGGCAGCCTCATCTGGTCGCTGAGTTACAGCAACGTCACCATCTAAGCTCCCCTGTCGCCTCCTGGCATTCTCACGCTGCCCACCCTTCACCGAGACTCATCCTCCTCTGTGCTGGGCATCTTTCACGGAGATCCCAACCTCGCTCTCAAGGATGCAGGGAGCCATCGAGGGAATAGGCTGGGCCTGGCTACACTCAGTTTCTAAGTCACACCTGCTGGGGTGGGCCTGGAGGTCCAGGGCCCCGACATCCAGCCAACCCCTCCCCCCGGTCCTCCCAGGGGACATGGGGACCAGACTCTGCCTAGCAGCCGCCCAGGGCTTCATCTCTGTTGATAAAGACCTTAAAACCCCGCATCCCCATCACTGAGCCACGGGCCTCATTCCTCGGGCTCTGTGCTCCACAGCGCAAATTCCAAGGTACTGGTTTTGCCCAGACAGAATTCTAAGCCCTGGTCCGGAGATGTAACCGTGTTTGGAAACGAGTTGGCTCTGACGTGAGATTGAGCCTCTGTGCCACGTCCAGGGGCTGCAGGGTGTTGTCCCCGACGGCTTTAGTTGGCTGTTGAGCTGGTGTTCAATCTGTGCCCATGCGTTACAGACGGAAGGCCGCCTGGCCGCGTGCCACCCTCTCCGCTGGGACGTTCGCGCCCACTGCTGTAGCTTTGTGTCCACTCATCGCGGGACGCCATGCCTTGCTTTCGCTGACCCTCTTCACCAACTCCGCTGTCCCCGTCGAGCGGCCGAGCCATGATCCCAAAGTCCCTTCTGCACCATCAGTATCTGCTCAAGCAGTAAATCTTGTTCCGAATCTTCTCAGATTCTTGTTATGTTAGTGAGGTCACACCAGACTTAGGGGGTCCTCACCCTAACCACCTCTCAGCTCTGCACAGGGCTGAACAGATGGAGGAGGAGGGACAGACAGATGCCGAGGAACGCCAGTGGACACGAGACTAGGAGAGAGGCCACAGAAGGAATCGCCACGGCTGTGACCCTCACTGGACTCCTGGCCCTGACCTGTGGGTGAACAGCTTCCTATTCTTCAAAGCCCTCTTTGCAGGAGTTCCGTGGCAGCAGCAACGAGGGGCGGAGGCAGGAACTGGTACCAACAGGGGTGCTGCTCTAACAAACACCTGAGTTGTGGAAGGAAGGGGCACCAGGGTCGTGGGGCAGCGAGTTAAAGCTGTGGAAGGATCTGGAGGCGCTTGGTCTCAAGAGCCCAGAAGAGCCTGCAGGTCGGACTCCAGATGTTCAGGGCGAGTGTGACGAGGGTCCAGAAGCCCTGAACGCTGTGAGCAAAGCTGCTCTAGTCACGGACAAGACGCTGCCAGAAAAAAAATCAACGTTAACCGTGAGCTTCCCGTGAGACTGGAAAAGCAAATGAGGGCTGAGACTGAAGACAGACTGGAGAGAGGGTTGTGCTTGTCACAAAGCAGCAAAGGGCTGGCCTGAACCGCGTACGCGTGTTCACTGACAGCAGAGGGTGGAGTGATGCAGGTGGACGTGCTGTGTGTTATAAACCTCCGCAATGAAGGGGCGTCACACCAAGTTTTCGGCTTCTTGGTGCAGCTCAGTGTTCGCTCACACTGCTGGTGGCCTAGCCCACAGGGGGCCATGGAACTGACCCAGAGGCTTTTAACCAAAGGCTCTTTGCTGGTCTGAACCCAGCAGCTGTACAGGGGTAGTATAGTGTATATCACAGGTTGGGCTGCCTAATGTGAAGGTCGCCGGTTCAAATCCACCAGCTGCTCTGAGGGGAAACATGAACCATTTCCTCCCACGAAGATTTAATTCACGGCTGTGGAGACCTGACGGAGGGTTCCCAGGAGCATGAATGCCGCGATGGAGCGGGTTCGCCGGCTCTGTTCTGTAGTCTGTTAAAGAGCAAACGTTAGGAAAAAGCCTGAGGCGTTAGGAGAAAGACACGCTGTCAGACAAGTGGCACTGTGAGAGTTGATCGATGCGGGGCTACCACGAACCTTCAATAAGTATAAACACGCAGCATCCGTGAAGAGCAGTAACGAGGTGTGGCTGAGCGGCACCCTAAACTGGTGCCTAAGGAAGGGACGGGCTTAGAGTAGAACCTGAGCGCAGTGCAGGGGTGCACCGTGTGCACAGAAACCGGAGCTTAGATTGGGGGGTGGTGTCTAAGAGTGCAGGTCTCCTGAGTGAGGAGGACAGATTTTTGCTGAAGAGTTCAGGCCTGGGGCTCATGGAGGAACCACCGGGGAGGAATCCCGTCCACTCAGACAGGAAGGAGCAGCGGCAGGAAGCATGGAGGGCGACCGGCCACCTGGTTGCAAATACCATCATTTTCCAAGAAAAGGAAGGATGCTGGGAGCAGTTCAGACACCAGGAAACTCCTGGAAAGAGTGCAGAGAGTGCATGTGTGTGCATGTATGCGTGTGTGTGTGCAATCGTGCATGTGCACTTAGCATGTGGGCAGGATGATGTGGTTGGGGATGGAGTGTGTGTGACGGTGCAGCCATGTGGTGCACGTGGATAAGGGGGCGAAGCGTGTGCACGAGGTGGGATGAGGGGTGTAGGAGTCGGGGTGGTGCGGCTTGTGTAGGGCGGAGCATATGCACGGGGAGGGGTGTAGGATTTGGGGGTGGTGGGGCGTGTGTGAGGGCCCAGAGCCTGGGAGGAGGGGATGGAGCGAGTGCAGAGGGTCAGAGTGTGCACAGGGATGCAGTGTGTGACAGTGAGCATTGGGGGGTTGGGGCTGCTGGTGGGAGATGGGGGCCCAAGGGAGCTAGGATTGCTGCATTTTCTGTCGCAAAAGGTGAAGCCACTGGCCTTTAGAAGAGGGGGCATCTCACCCAGAATCCAGAGGGCAGGGCCAACACCAGAGCGTAAAGGGAGCGACCACAGCCTACATATGCCTGGGGTGGAGGATGCCCTTGAAGTCTTGGGAGCTAAGGAGGTTTGCTGCTGTGATGGCTGGACACTCGCTGGGACCTGGGACCCCTTCCTGCCCTCTGACTCTCCCACTTCCCATGGAAATGCCAGCTGTGCCTGCCCAGGAGGGACACACCCAGAGTCCTCCAGACCCAAACTAGGTCATTTCTGAGACTTTAGACTCTGAGTTGATGCCGGAATGGGGCAAGACTTTCAGGGACTGTGTTCTCCATATAGGAGGAATGTGAATTTGGGGGTTAAAGGGGATGCTGCCCATGGTTACAACAGTAAGACAATAAAAGTCAAGCTGTATCATCCAGGAAGAGTGCAAACGGTCACTACAAAGAAGAGGAAGAAAAGACCAAAATGGATGTCAGAAGAGACTCTGAAGATTGCACTGGAGCGTAGAGAAGCCAAAGCACAAG